GCACACGCCCTATAAGCAAAAAACCTCCAAAAAAGAAAAAAGAAACGCTGACCTCAGGGCCAGCAGGTGGCATGTGGTTAGGGCACTGGACTCTCGCATGGCAAATGCGGTTAGAGTTCTGGATCTCGTGGCTTTGCTTCTCTCTCTCTCTCTTTTCTCTCTTATCTTATACATGTGATGAGCACGTGTATCCTCTATAACAAATTAAAAAATAATAATGAAATTAAATCAGTAATTCTTAAAAAGAGAGAGAGAGAAAGAGAGAGAAAGAAATGCTGATCTGGCCCAGCTAGTAGCTTGGTGGTTAAGACGGCCAGATCCCACATGGCTCATGATGTGGTTCAAGTTCCAGATCTTGTGACCTGAAAAACATTGGGCATGTGTGCATGCATGTTCAACATCCCAAGAGAATGGAGGAGAAGGGACTGCATCGTGGCCATCCCCCAAGGTTTATGCTTTCTTACTACCCTTCCTTCTCCTAAATAGTCCCCCTTCACCACCACTACCATCTGGCAAAAATTAAAAAAAAAAAGGGACCAGCATTTGGTGTAATGGCTATGCTTCTGGACTCACATTAGTCAACCGCGGTTCAAGTCCTGGACCCAGTGGCTTAAAACTCACGCCAGGTGCATGTGTGTATGTGAGTATGCCCAAGATCTCAAGAGGAGAATGGAGGAGAAGTGACTGTGGCATGGCCATCCCCCCTGGGAGGGTGATTTCTTGCTTAGGCAAAAACCTCTAAAAAAAAAAAGAGAGAATGAAAGAAATGCTGACCTAATGTATAGCAGAAAAGCACTTTCATTTGCTTAGAAGTACTGTTTATATGTGAAGGATCATTGTGAGGCCAGGGAAGTTATTAGAACACTGGACCTGATGTTGCCTGGTTTTAATCTCACCTTGCTCACATACTGGAGATACTACGTCAGGTCCCCACTTGTGGAAGTGGGGATAGAACACTACAAGGTATTGTGAAGATGAGGTGAGATGATCAATAGTAAATGCTCCATAAATAATTATTATTTTTCTATTTATTTAAAACATTTTTAAAAAATTATTTTTAATTTTACTTATTCATTTACTTATTTTGACCAGAAAGACAGAGAGAGAGAAAGTGAGAAAGCAAGTCACCAGGTCCAGGACTCGAACCATAGTCAGCCATGTGGGAATGTCCAGCATCCTAACCACCACACCACCTGCTGGTCCCCATTAATTATTATTTTTTAAATAATTATTTTATTTAATTTTACTTATCTGTTTGTTTTAATTTGACCAGAGAGGGACAGAATGTGGGACTACCAGTTAGCGTAATGGCTATGCCGCTGGACTCCCACGTAGTTGACCGCGGTTCGTGTCCCGGACTCGGTGGCTTAAAACTCACGCTGGGCGTGTGTGCGTGCATGCCCAAGATCCCAAGAGGAGAATGGAAGAGAAGAGATTGTGGCGTGGCCATCCCCCCTGGGGGGATGATTTCTCGCTTTCTGTCTCTCTGTCTCTCTCTGTCTGGTGAGCTCATGTACCCTATAGCAAAAACAAAACAAAACAAAACCAAAAAAAACCCCACAAAACTCTCAGAGAGGGACAGAGTGAGATAAAGAGAGAGAGAGGGAAAGTGAGAAAGCCACCAGGTCTGGAACTTGAACCGCAGTTGGCCTTGTGGGAGTCCAGTGCCTTAACCACTAGGCCACCTGCCGGCCCCTCCATAAATTACTATTAGTGCTACTGGGATACTCTCCAGGGTGGCCCTGGGGACACAGCTACCCATCCTGGACAGGGCCGCTTCCACAGACTACCAGGCTGTTGCAGAGTGCCTCCAGGGGGTGCTGCCCACCCTGTGGTCCTCATGGGTTTGGGTAGGCATAGCCACATTTCTCCGGAAGAGGGCAGCAAAGCCTCGCGCCTCTGCTTTTCACAAAGCTGTTTGGGGCTTGTGCTGGGCCATGCTCTGTTCTGGGCACTCCAGTGGGCTGTCCTTGCCTGTGGGCTCCTCCTGCCCATTACACCAATGGGCTTGACCTCATTAATATGCCTAAATCTGTCCTCTTCTCTCCAACCCCTCTGGAGACCCAGACTGGCTCTCACTCCGCTCCACCCCAGTCTCAGTCTCTCTTGCAGCACTGTCTGGAAGCTGAAGCTCAGGGTTCTCCCTGCTGCTTTGGCTTGTGCCCTTTTTTCTACTGTTCTCAGAATCCCCACAGCCCTGTGGCTGCTGCCTGTGGCTCTGGCCTGGTGCCCCACGTTTCCTCAGGTGTCCTCGTGTGTCCCGTCTATTCTGTCCTCCAGGCCTCTTCAGGGCTGTGCTCTTGGTCTGGGGTTCTTCTCCTTTTCCCATTTACCTGGCTGACAGCTGCTCGCCTGAGGGTGTTCACAGCCCGGCGTCCTGGTCACAGCCTCTTCACCCTCCTGTAGTTACCGGGTCACCATGCTTGCTCTTTGGTACAGGGTGCACACAGCCCTTGCTGCCCTGAGGTTTACAAGGAGCTGCTTGGGCCTGGCCTGGTGAGTCTCATGTACCGGTCTGGCCCTCAGGAGGCGGCATGGCGGGAGCTGGAGGCCGAGCGGGCGCAGCTGCAGGGCCAGCTGCAGCGGGAGCGGGAGGAGCTGCTGGCCCGGCTGGAGGCCGAGAAGGAAGAGCTGAGCGAGGAGATCGCCGCCCTGCAGCAGGAGCGTGACGAGGGTCTCCTCCTGGCCGAGAGCGAGAAGCAGCAGGTTTGTGAGTCCTGCGGAGTCTTCCACTGCTGCCCCAGGGACCCCCTATTCATGGCTGGTCCCTGTGCAGCCACCTGGCAGCTACGAACCCTGGGGCAGGCTGCTTCCCTCTCTGGGCCCACTGCCTCACTGCAGGGTAAGGCAGTGATAGGGACGTCTGTGCAGCATTGCTGAGCCCCTGCTGGCACACGGCGGGAGCACGCCCACTGTCAGGGACAGTTGTGACACCAGGAGAGCCACCCACGTTCTCCCATACTTCTGCCCACCCCAAGCTGGCTGTGGCGTCCTCACAACTGCCTTATTGCTGTGCCCACACCCACAAGCAGCAGCCAGCCCTCCCCAAGAACTAACCCGTGACTTTCCCATACTGGGATGGAGCCGGGGCAGACTGCCAGCTCTGTCACCCCGGGCAAGTGCCTTTACTTGTTGGACCTCAGTTTCCGCGTTTGTAACATGAGCACAACGGAAGACTTGGCCTCGGGGTTGTGGTGGCAAGTTAGTGAGCTGTGCAAGTGTTTCCTCCCTGGGTTACTGTTACTGCCGCTGAATCCCTGCCCAGGGCTCCAGGGGGCCAGCATGCTCCCTGCCCTGGGTCTGCCGTGATGGCCCATCAGGCCATGGCACCCCCAAAGGCCCAGGATAGGCTGAGGAAGAGCCTTGAGTGTGCCACCTGGGGCCGCCAACTTCCCGAGGCATTTCCTGCCTCTGCCCAGGCCTTGTCCCTGAAGGAGTCTGAGAAGACAGCCCTGTCGGAGAAGCTGATGGGCACCCGGCATAGCCTGGCTGCCATCTCCCTGGAGATGGAGCGGCAGAAGCGAGACGCGCAGAGCCGGCAGGAGCAGGACCGGGTAGGGCAGGCTGGGCAGCCATGTCGCCATCCACATGGCAGGGTACACCCAGGCCAGGAGGAGCCCCTGTGGGAGGGGAGGCATGGCCTGCCCTGGAGAAGACTCCAGGCCGGGGGCAGGGTAGTTTGGCCCTTCCTTTAGGGGTCTCCACCTGAGGGAGGTGGCCCAGCATACCCTAGTGACTCCCCTACCGTGACGGAGAGCCAGTGATGGGAACAGCACTCGCTGGCCCTGGAGGGGCGGCCAAAGGTTTGGGAGGACAGCAGGAGAGTCTCTAACTTGGAACTGAAAGTGGAGAGTTCAGCCGGCGGGTGGAGCCTGAGGAGCAGGGGTCCCGGAGGACCATGTCAGCATCTCCTGCCTGTCCAGGGCACCGTGAACACCCTGACATCTGAGCTGCGTGATCTGCGGGCCCAGTGTGAAGAGGCTGCTGCGGCCCATGCCCAGGAGGTGAAGCGGCTGCAAGAGCAGGCGCGAGACCTGGGCAGGCAGCGGGAGTCCTCCCTGCGCGAGGTGAGCCGGCCCACCACCCCTCAGGGCAGCGCCTGCTCCATGCCGCTGCATGCCTGCTGGGGGCCTGGTCCTTCAGGGCCAGAGGACCGTCATAGTCCTCTCTGCGTCTGAGGACAAATGAATGGCCCACATAGAGAGGAGGTGGCAAGCGTGTCCTGAGTGCCTGCTGTGTCCAAGTGGAACTCTGGGATCTCAAGGAAGGAGAGTGGGGTCTTTTCACCCTGGGTGTTGTCTACAGGGCGATCCTGGTTGATACTTATTTCAGGCCCAAACAGTGCTGACTCCAGCATGCCTTGTGCCAGATCAACAGACTGCAGTCGGAGTCGCTGCAGGGGGCGGGGGCCAGCGCCCTGTGGCCAGGTATTTGGGTTCAGGCCTGATCCTCTGACCGAGCTCACTGGAGGTCCTGACCCTGGTCCTCGGACATCTGTGCTCGCAGGCAGAAGAGCTTCGGACTCAGCTGCGTCTGCTGGAAGATGCTCGCGATGGGCTGCGGCGGGAGCTTCTGGAAGCTCAGCGCAAGGTGCGGGAGAGCCAGGAGGGCCGCGAGGCCCAGCGCCAGGAGGCAGGTGAACTGCGGCGCAGCCTGAGTGAAGGTGCCAAGGAGCGCGAGGCCCTGCGGCGCTCCAACGAGGAACTGCGGGCCTCCTTGAAGAAGGCTGAGAGCGAGCGCATCAGGTGGGCTGACAGGGACCACCCTGTCCTCACCGAGTCTCTTCCCTGAAACCTAACTCAGCCTCCGGTTCTGGGAAAATTGCACACGTGGGTCATTGGATAGTTTTTCTACCTGTAGAAAAGGGAAAGATGGTGGCAGGTAGGGTTGGGGTCCCCGCCTGCTGTCATCACCCTGGAAACAGGCCCCCACCTGAAGTCACTGGTCTGCCTCTCCTGGCTGAGGGACTGGCCCCAGCCCCAAGGGCTCAGCTCAGGAAGGGCCACGTAGCAGGTAGCACTTGGACACCTCTAGGGCACAAGCTGGCGAGGAGAGCTGCAGACCATTCTCGAGGACCCAGGGCAGCCTCTGGCCTCTGTCCCCTCCAGCCTGAAGCTTGCTAATGAGGACAAGGAACAGAAGCTGGCACTCCTCGAGGAGGCACGGGCAGCCGTGGCCAAGGAGGCTGGAGAGCTGCGGGCCGGGCTGCAGGAGGTGGAGCGCTCACGGTTGGAGGCTCGGCGGGAGCTGCAGGAGCTCCGGCGGCAGGTACCGCCCCCATGCCAGCCACTTGCTGGGCATGCTGTGTGCCCCGGTCCCGGAACACCCCTTTCTGGAGGTGCTCCCTCACAGGGGCTTGGCTACGATGAGCCGTCTTTCCTGAGCTTGGTCCGAGCAGATGGGGCTTGAGGAGTCCTTGGCCCCCTGATCCTGTACAGGGGTCTGTGCCCTCAGGCTTACATTTGTCCAGGAGGGTGGAGCTCTTGTCCAGTTCACAAAGGAATCTGTAAACAACGAGAGGTACAGATCCCATGAGCTCAATTAGGGGCTAGCAAACTTGAAAAGAACCAAAAAGTAGGAGCTGGCAGGTGGGTGGCCTTGTGCTTAAGGTGCTGGATTCCCATATGGCAGACCGCGGCTCAAGTTCTAGACCTGGTGGCTTGCTTTCTCACTTTCTCTCTCATCAGAAAGATGTTTTGTTTTGTTTGTTTTTTTAAATTCAGGGGCCAGCAGGTGGTGTGGTAGTTAAGGTGCTGGACTCCCACGTGGTCGACTGTAGTTCAAGTCCCACACGTGGCAGCTTGCTTTCTCGCTTTCCCTTTCTCTCTGGTTGAATTTAATAGTAATAACAAATGGAATTAAAGAAATAATAAATAAATAAATCTTTTTATTAAAAAGAAGAGAAGGGATCAGCAGATGGCGTAATGGTTGTCTTTGGACTCCCACGTAGTTGACCACGGTTCAAATCCTGGACCCGGTGGCTTAAAGTCATGCCAAGCGTGTGTGCATGTGTGCCCAAGATCCTGAGAGGAGAATGGAGGAAAAGGGATTGTGGCGTGGCCGTCCTCCCTGGGGGTGATTTCTGATCTGTGTGCTGCTACCCATCTCTGCTGTCATGAGAAAGCAGCCTGGACAGTGCACGGATGGCACCCATGTTCCAGCACAGCTTTGCTTATGAACCCTGAACTCTGAACTTCATGTCATTTTTGTATGCTAAAAATTTCATATGTTCTTCTTTTCATTTCTTTCAAGCATTGAGAAATGAACCATTTTCAACTATTTTAAGATGTAAAGAAACCTGGGCCAAGCAGGTGGCACAGAGGCTAGGACAGCTGGATCCAACTTGGCTGACTTTGTGGTTTGAGTCCCAGACCTGGGGGACATGTGTGTGTGTGCATGCCCAATGTCCTGAGAGGAGAATGGAGGGATTGTGGTGTGGCCACGCCCCCAGGGGGATGATTTCTCACTTTCTGTCTCTCTGTCTCTCTGTGTGTCTCTGGCGAGCACACATCCCCTATAGCAAAAATCTCTCAAAACATAAAACACAATTTTAAGTTCCTTTTATCTATTGGGTTGTTGGAAAAGTCATGATGTATTTTTGCATAGAGAAACAGAAAAATACATCATGACTTTTCTGATGACCCAGTACAATAGGAATTGAACCTTGGTCTGCTACTTGTGGGCTGTGTGACCTTGGGCAAGGCACTTGACCTCTCTGAACCTGTTTTCTCATCTGCTAAGTAAGAATAATTAGTGTGTACCCACACAAGGTTGTGTGAAGATTAAATGAATCAATATAAGTGAAGTGCTTAGCACAGGACTGGATACATAAGCAGCCGAAAAGCTCATCATCACAGAGATGAAAGGCGAGGCAGGGAGCCGCAGTTTACCCCACGGAACTCCTGGTCTGATAGGCACTCATCCTCCCCTTCCCCACTCCCCATGGAAGGTAGATTTTTTTTTTTTCTCTACAGGGCACATATGCCTGCCAGAACACACAGAGAAAATGAGAAATCCACCCCCCCCCAGGGGGGATGGCTGCTTCACAATCCCTTCACCTCTCGCCTCCTCTTGGGATTCTGGGCACACTCCCATGTGTGTCTGCCATGATGTTCAAGTTGCCTGGGTCTGGGACTCAAACTATGCACTTGGCCATGTGGGATCCAATGCCTTACCCGCTACGCTACCTGCTGGCCCCAGAAGGTAGTTGTGAGCCTTTGGGACCTGGCATGCCCCAGCTCAGCAAGGTGGATGAGAAGGCTCCTGGTGGATCTGGGTGGTATTTGATGCTGGTCCTTGGAGCAGTGGGTCCCGGTGCCCCCTAGGCCAGGACAGGGCAGAACATGGGATGGAACTGAGCCTCCTGTTCACATTCTCCTACAGATGAAGACACTGGACAGTGAGAATGCCAGGCTGGGCCGGGAGCTGGCAGAGCTGCAGGGCCGCCTGGCTCTGGGCGAGCGGGCAGAGAAGGAGAGCCGGCGGGAGGCCCTGGGCCTCCGTCAGAGGATGCTGAAGGGCGAGGCCAGCCTGGAGGCTGTGCGACAGGAGGTAACTGGGCAGATGGGTGAGCAACGTGGAAGGGGAATGATCTAGTCGGTATGAAGGCTGTCTTCAGCGGGAAAATGCTGGAGTCATTCTGATAGACTACTCCTGGGACTTGTTCCTGTCGCCTGCACCCCTTGACTCGTCCCCAGTTATAATAACCACCATGGGAAGAACCATGGACCTACTTTGTACAAGCACAAAATGGGGAGGGAGAGGAGAGGGAAAGAAAGTTCTATAGATATAACCTTGTGTGATTATCCTAGCAGCCCACGAGTTAGGTACAGTTTGCCCCATTTACAGAGAGCACCGGACACTGAAGCTCAGAGAGGCCAAGGGATCTACCCAGGGTTACACAGCCATGTAGGTCCGTCTGACCCACGCTCTTTCCTCTCTGCCTTTTCCTGCAGTTTCACTGCCTTGAATCTACTGTGTTACCTTGACCCAGGTACTTAGCCTCTCTGTGCTTCCAAGTGCTCATGGGAAAGGGGCCCGTGTGCTAGCAGGGCACGCATATGAAGGGCCTGGCACAGGGCCTGGCATCCCACTGGCTCATTAGGTGGGGCTTGTAGGGAAGTTGATAGCCTTGTGAGGCTGACTCATTCTCTAAACCAGTGGGTTATTTTTGTAACTGATCAGGCATCTCATCAGTAGATAATTTTTTAGTTTATGTCCCCATTTTATGCATATCAGTAAATTACGTGCACTGAGAGGCAGTATAGCTGGTGATTAGGAGAAGGGCCACTGGGGCTTGAGTGCCAGGCTTGTATTCTGGCTCTGCAGTTTACCGTGTGGCCTTGAACAACTACTTAACTTCTCTGCACCTCAATTTTACCACCTGTAAAATGGGATGATTCATAGAGTAATAACTAATTTCTTTTTTGGAGAGTACTTAGTGCCTGGCACTAAGTATTAGCTGTTGTCAGTAATAAACTGGTACATTACAAGTCTTACACAGAGGGAAGAGACTGAGAAACAAACTCTAGGGCCAGCCTTGGCTTGGTGCTTATGTGAGCTGGACCCCACGTGGTCAACTTGGCATAGGCGGGCACCTGTGCGTGCCTAAAATCCCAAAAGGAGGGAAAGGTGAAGCCATTGCAGTGTGACCACTTACCAGGGTGGGGGATGTTTCCTGGCTTTCTCCTTTTTTCCCCCCCGCTGGCGAGTGCCCTCTGGCAAATTTAAAAAAAAAACACTAATAATTTGCTTTCCACGCTCCATGAATATTCTCATACCACCCGTACGGGTGGGGTTCACTAAAGGAACGCGTGTTGCACCAGCCACTAGGGTTGGGGGCTCTAGGCTGGACTGAGAGGTTGGGGTCGGGGTCGCTAACCCACTACCTCCTGGCTTCCCTCCCGCCCCAGCTCCACGGAGCGCAGCGGAAGCTGCAGGAACAAGAGGGCGAGTTCCGGACTCGTGAGCGAGGCCTGTTGGGCTCCCTGGAGGAGGCACGCAGCGCCGAGAAAAAACAGCTGGACCATGTTCGGGGCCTGGAGCTGAAGCTGGAGGCAGCACGGGCCGAGGCTGCGGAGCTGGGGCTGCGGCTGAGCGCGGCAGAAGGCCGGGCGCAAGGCCTGGAAACCGAGTTGGCCCGCGTGGAGGCGCAGCGGCGCGCGGCCGAGGCTCAGCTGGGCGGGCCTGCCCGGGAGCCACCTGCTGGAGGTGAGCACCTGAAGAGGATGGGAGGGCCGGGAGGCGGGCCTCGCCCAGTCCGGGGCCCTTCGCTGGGCCACACCTCCGCGGGCCCCACCCGTCTCTGAGGCTCTGACCTCACCCGTTTAGGGATCCAGCCTTTCGTCAAGGTCGCTTCTCTCTCTCTTTTTAAAAATATTTATTTATTTAATTCCATTTGTTATTGCTATTTATTTATTTATTTTAATTTGACAAGAGAGAGACAGACAGAGAGAGGAAGCAAGCAGCCAGGTTGGGGATTTGGACCGCGTTGGCCATGTGGGAATCCAGAGCCTGTAACCACCACACCACCTGCCGGCCCCAAGGTCGCTTCTCTTTAAGGGAGGTGGGCGATCCTTAATGCCCCAACTCCTTTTCTGGGCCTTTGAGCTTCCATCCTCCTGATTAACGCCTGCCCCTCTACACCAGCACCCCATCCTCTTCAGCCTCCCATCCACACCCGGTCTGTGACCCCTACATCTACCCCACACACGGTACAAGCCAGGCTTGACCCCTGAAAAGACTGTTCCAGCCCCACCTGCTCCCGGTGGATGGTGGATGATGCTGGGAGAGCGCTCCTGAGCTGGGGGTGCAGCCCTTTAAGGAGTGTTCACCTTGTCTCAGCCAGAGAACCTGTGGGATCTTAGGACTGTGGGGAATTGTGGAATATGGAGCTGGTGCCTCTTCAAATCCAGGCATCCCCAGGATCACGTTGGTTGGTACAAGTGTGCAATTTGATGGTGTGCCAAAGGCAGTTTTAAGCGCTAGGGGTGGAGTGTAAGCAAAACTGAAAAGCTTGTTGGCTCTTGGGTGCTCAGAGCCATGGGAATAGCAGACCACAGACATGATGCATGAATTAAACAAGAGAGGACCATCTCGTAGCACAGCGGCAGTTAAGCGCTGCATAGGAAGCTGAGCCATGGTCAAAATCCTGGGCTTGCCTTAAAAAACATTTAGGCTGGGTGTGCATGCCCATAATCCTGATGGGATGGAAAAATAGAGGAAAAAGGATTGAGGTGTAATCAAGCCCCATTGAGGGGTTTCTCTCTCCCTTTCTCTCTGGTGAGTGCATGCACCCTCCAACACTAAAAAAAAAAAAATATTAAATATAGACTGTATTCAGTGGTGGTAATGTGGCAATGGCTGGAAAGTAGGTAAGGAAAAGTAAAGCGAGGGACAATGCTGTTGGGAATGGCAAATGGCACATCCACTGTGGAAAGCAGCTTAGCTGTTCCTCACAAAGCTGGAAATAGGATTACTGTGCAAATCAGTGGTTCCATTCCTACGTATTACCCCAAAGAACTAGAAACAGACTCAGACATACTTGCATACCAGTGTTTATAGCAGTATTATTCACAACAGCCAAAGGTAGAAATAACCCACATTTGTAAAAGATGTAATATTATTTATTATTTAAATCATTATTTATTTAGTTTATTATTATTATCTGTTAATTTGACAGAGAGAGAGAGACAGAGAAAATAAGAAAGCAGGCTGCCAGGCCTGGGCGTGGTCAGTCACGTGGGCCCAGCACCTTAACCTCCAGGCCGTTATTATTATTTTGAATTTGCTATAGGGCACTTGTGCTTACCAGAAAAAGAGAGGAAAAGTGAGAAAGCAAGCCACCAGGCCCAAGACTCGAACCATAGTTGGCCATGTGGGAAGCCAGAGCCCTGACCACCATGCCTCCTTCTGGCCCCACAACCCAAATATTGGGTCATTGGAAAAATCATGACATATTTTTCTAAGTAAAAATGTGTCACAAGGGACCAGCAGATGACGTAATATTTACATCTCTGGACTCCCACGTAGCCGACCGTAGTTCGAGTCCCAGACCTAGTGGCTTAAAACCCATGTTGAGCATGTGTGCATGCATGCCCAAAATCTCAAGAGGAAAATGGAGGAGAAGGGATTGTGGCATTGGGACCAGCAGTTGGCGTAATGGCTGTGTTGCTGAACTCCCATGTAGTCGACTGCAGTTCAAGTCCCAGACCTGGTGGCTTAAACTCACACCAGGCGCATATGTGTGCCCAAGATCCTGAGAGGAGAATGGAGGAGAAGGGATTGTGGTGTGTCCATCCCCCCTGGGGGTGATTTCTCACTTCGCTCTTTTTTTGGCAACCAAAAGAGCCCTGTAAAAAAAAAAAAAAAAAAAAAAAAAAGGATTGTGGCGTGGCTAACCCTCCCGTCCCCGAGGGTGATTTCTTGATTTCTGTCTCTCTGTCTTGCTCTTTCTCATGAGTACACACACCCTATAGCAAAAACCTCTCTCAAAAAAAAAAAAAGCGTCTTGATTTTTCTGACAACCCAATATTTATTAACGAATAGATAAACAAATAGCAGTATATCCATACAATGGAATTTTTTTTAAAAAAGAATTATTCAACTTTATTTATTTATTTCAATTTGACCAGAGAGAGAAAGCAAGTGAGAAAGCAAGCTGCCAGGTCTAGGATTCGAACTGTGGTGGGCCATGTGGGAGCTCTGTGCCCTTAACTACCTACTGCCTCTAGCATACAATGGAATTTTATTTGGCCTTCTAAAGGAACGATAGGCTGGGGGCTAGTTGGTGGTGCAGTGGTTAAGGTGCCAGGCTCTCACATGGTTGACCACAGTTTGAGTCCTGGACCTGGTGGCTTGAAAATCATGCCAGGCATGTGTGCTTGTGTGCCCAAGATCTTAGGAAGAAAATGGAGGAGAAAGAATTGTGATGTGGCCATCTCCCCTGGGCGGTGATTTCTCACTTTACCTTTCTCTCTAGAGAGCACTCACTCCCCGTGGCAAATTAAAAATAAAAACAAATGAAGATAAAGGGAGAGAGGGCAGGCCGTTTGTGTGGGATTCAGGGAGAGCCTTGCTGTGGAGGTGAGGGATGGGGAAGAATGAAGTGGTCGAGGGAGCTCCTGGTGGAAGAGTCGGGCCCAGTGGAAGGGTCCTGAGCAGAAGTACCCCTGTCCTGTGCACCGGGGGACTCCCCATAGTGAGTGTGGGACAAAGGCCCTGCTCGAGTGGTCTTTGTGGGCCACTACCACGCTGGCTTTTACTCCGGGGGATGGGCTCTTCCAGGGCTGGAGGCCCTGGGTGGAGTGGAGGTCCTGCTCCTTGGTGTACCTTTGGGCAGGAGCCTCTGGGAAAGGACCAAGCTTGCTTCTTGTGGGGCAGTTTAGGAAACACTTGGCAGAGGTAGTGCTAACGGATGGGAAAGTGTTGAGCTGCGTTGTGATGTCCTTGGTTTTTTGGGTTCAGATCACTAAAATTAGAGATCTGTCCCTAGGCGCAAAATGAAACCGCAACCATGAATAAAGTAGGTAGAAGAAAAGGTTTAATAGAAAGAAAGGAAAGGAAAGAAAGAAAGTACACCCAAAAAGGTTGTTGGGCGGGCAGATTGCCAGGTGGCAACCGAGCTTGGTACTACGTAACCGTTCTTTTTTTATTACTAGAGGTCATGAATATTCATTAGTGGGAGGCCCCTTACGCTGCCTCTGTCCTTCCTTTAAATTTGAATCTACACGTTCTTTTCCTGCACCTGCGCACCTTCCTCACAGGTAAAGAATGAGGAACTTTATCACCTAATTGCGCATGCCCAATGTGAGCCAGGTTGCCCCAATTAGACTGCCCAATTAGTCCATCGCCCTAACGGGAATTAGGACATTGACCAAAACCCTTGCTTAGGTCTTTCTGATAAGAGAAAAAATTTCGGAACCATCCCTGTGTACTTCCCTCAGGCCCCAAGGAAGGAAGATGGCAAATTGCCTTGCCCTCCTGGCGCCCCGGAGCTAGATGAGCCTTTCACTTCTCTCTTAGGGCTGCCCGCTCATGGCTAACTAACTACTACAGTAGGAGCCTGCTCATGGCATACCCCTGCCTGCAGTTCCAGCGTGGGCCTCCAGGGGCTGCCCCACCCTCTTCTCCCTCCCTGTGGTCCTACATCTAAATGGGATTCAAGGTTTTCTGCTTGGGAGTTGGTTGCCTAGGTTCAAATCCTGGCTCTGAATTTCCCATCGTTGAGACCAAGCAACTCGCTTAACTGTTTTAAGCCCACCTTGTCTGTGAAGTGGAGAAATTGGTCCTTCCCTGCGAGGGAATTGTTGTGAGGATGAGATGCGGCAACATAGGGGGAGCTTCAGTGCCTGGTTCACAGAAAGCGCTGAGGGGCTGCAGGTGGAGTGCTGGATAAAGGCGCTGGATTCCCACATGGCCAGCTGCAGTTCGAGTCCCGGAGCTGGCTACGTGCTTTCTCGCTTTCCCTTTTTCTCTCTGTCTCTCTCTGGTCAAATTTAGTAATAATAATAATAATAATAACAACAACAACAACAAATGGAATTAAATAAATGATTCTTAAAAAAAAGAAAAGAAAAGAAAGCACTTAGAACAGGGAGAGATCGAGTGCTGGAGTGTCCACAGTGTGGACAGGAGAGGTGAGGCCCAGCCCTCAAGGTACTCAAGGTCTGGGTGGGGAGGCAGATACCAAACTCCCATGAGGGTGGGATGAGCTCACCCCACCCTGCCTGAAGTCAGGGAGGTCTCTGAGAGACTGCTCTAAAGGACAGGCCAGCAGAAGAGAAGCAAGGGGGAAAAGAGAGTGGGACCAGCACACAGAAAGGCCCGAGGGCTGTTACAGGGAATGTTCTAGAAGATGGGAGCTGAGAGTGATCCAGAGGGGCCAGCTTGTAAAGATGAAGTGATGCTGGGGTAGGCAGTAGGGCCTCTAAGCTAGGGTAAGTAAATTGGGCAGGAGGCTGAGGTGGCCCTGTTTGTGCTAGGCCAAACTCACGTGGGCTGTCGGATCCAGCACGGGCCGAGACATGAGTGAGGAAGACCCCAGATGCATCCGTGTCTGTCCACAGTGTCAGCCTCTACTGCATAACGTAAAACTGAGCACAGCAAAGCGGTCAGGTCGAGGGGCGAGACCGACTCAGGCTAGCTGATCACAGTGGTCAGTCTCTGGAGGCGGATAGCCAGTCAAGGTCCCCAGAGATCTCAAGCATCGACCCTGGAGGGGAGGGAGCTGGTCTGATCCACGCCTGAAGGTCTCATTGAAGGGTCTGAGGATGGCGCTGAGGCTGGGATGGAGGTGGTGAGTCTTGGGCCGTCTCCTGAAGTCTGCGAGTCTCGGAGTGGCCGGAGCCAATGGCAAGGTGGCATTGCGGGGGGCACCTTTTCTGCCCCAAGGCAGGCGGAGCCTCTTAGGTTAGACCCATGTCTAAGGTTTGCACCTGGCAAGTCTGTCCCTCTGCTTGGGTGGGCCAGGTGTCTGGGGTTGGCCGACCTGGGTTTCTGTCACTCCTGTAGTGCGTTCCCATTGAGTCCTCTCGGTTTGGCAGGCTGAGGGAGGAACCAGGGTGTACATGCCGCACGTCACTGCCCCAGGGCAGTCCTGTCATCACAGAGTCCATTCTGTAGCATAGTGCTCTCAAAGGCAGGCCACAGGAGCCTGCAGCCACCTCATTGCAACCACTGCCCTGCAGGCAGGTGAGGCTGGTGGCTCCTGCCTCCCTGGGTGTGTCTTCCCTCCTAGGAAGTGGGGAAGGACTCAGCAGCCCCAGCCCCTTAGAATGCAGCCCTGGGTCCCAGCCATCATCCCCAGGACCGGCCACCTCTCCAGTACCTCCTGACCTGGACCCAGAGGCAGTACGCATGGCCCTCCGGGATTTCCTGCAGGAACTACGGAGTGCTCAGAGAGAACGGGTGAGCCTGGGCGTGAGTGGTCGGATAGGGAACCAGGTGGCCAAGGGCCCTGGAGGGGCTGCAGGTCCTCAGAGCAGCGGTCTCTCCTTTCCCCTCATGCCGGGGCTGCAGGATGAGCTTCGCACCCAGATGAGTGTCTTGAGTCGCCAGTTGGCTGAGATGGAGGCTGAGAGGGACAGCGCGACCTCACGAGCCAGGCAGCTGCAGAAGGCGGTGGCTGAAAGTGAGGAAGGTGAGTTTGACATGCAAGTTATCGCTCTGTTCTCATATGTTTCTAGCAGCTGGGGCTGGTAGGTTGGCCTGAGTGGCTCCAGAGGACCTGCCCTGGCCTGTCACCCCCAGGGGACCCTCCCCAGTCAACCTGCCCCATGCCCCATGCCCCGAGCTGTACATTCTGGGGTGCTGGCAGGTGGACTCAGCGGTGGGTGGAGGGCAGGCTGGGCATCCTGTGGGCTGGTGCATTTTCTGGGCTGTGACTGTCCTGCCTGATGGGGTTGGTGGTGCCACAGCCCGGCGCAGCGCAGACGGGCGGCTGAGTGGCGCCCAGGTGGAGCTGGCACTGCAGGAGGAGAGTGTGCGGCGCAGCGAGCGGGAGCGCCGGGCCATGCTGGACCAAGTGGCTGCGCTGGAGAGGAGCCTGCATGCCACTGAGAGTGAGCTCCGAGCCAGCCAGGTGGGCAGGAGTGAGGGCCTCGGGGAGAGGGAGTGGGCCTAGCAGTGGGACCCGAGCAGGCCTGCGTGGGTGTCCAAGTCCTGCCATGGGCATTTCTGTGTCTTGCGGGGTCCTTCTGAAACCCACTGGACTTTCTGCAGGTGCAAGCTCAGATTCCATCATCATGTTTCTTTTTTTTGAAAGAGATTTTTGCTATAGGGTGCATGTGCTCACCGGAGAGACAGACAGAAAGTGAGAAATCACCCTGGGGGAATGGGCATGTTTCAATCCCTTCTTTTCCAATCTCCTCTGGGAATTTTGGACATGTACGCACACACGTCTGGTGTGAGTTTTGTTAAATTGCTGAGTCTGGGACTCAAACCATGGTCGACTACGTGGGAGTCCAGCAACGTAACCATTATGCCATCTTTCTGGTCCCCTATCATCACTTTTCACTTGAGATCACTAGGCTATAGAAAAAAACTTGGACTTTTGAGCCTGGCAGACTGGGGTTCGAGTCCTGGCGCTGCTGCTAATTGGCCATAGGCCAGTCATCTATCTGATTTTTGTTTTAGACCAGAGATGATGCACATACGCTCTTACCCACAGGCGGTGCCCTGGGCCTGTGTGGGGAGTCTGTGTAGCAGCCCAGTGACACTGTGGGATTTTTGTGTCTCTGGTGGACATCTGTGCCTCCATGTGTCTGTCTGTCTGGGGCAGGAAGTGACAGTCCAGGCTGCCTGAGTCTTGAGCTTTCTGGCTCCCTCCCTGCCTCTCTGCCCCCACTGCCCACCCCTGCCTCTGGCTCCTGGCCCAGCTCGAGCTGGGTTGTTGTGTCTGCGGCTTCAGCTCTGGCCTTGGGCCCAGCCACAGGGGCTGCAGGAAGAGGCAGGAACAAAGCTGGGCAGGAGCCAGTGTGGGGGCCTGGGCCCAGACAGGCAGGGCTGGGACGCTGAGCAGGGTGCGAGGTGCCAGGCCCGGGGGCACGTGCTGATGGGCTCTGTGACCCACGCAGAAGCTGGGATGGTAACGTGGACTGAGAGGAAGGCCCTCCAGTCTGTCTTCCTGTCCCATCCCCACTCCTTGGGCTCCCTTCACCCTCTGGCCCCCTTGAAGGAGGGGGAGGAGACTCGTCCCCTGGAACTCCAGAACAGGAGGGCTGCAGGGCTGCCTGGATGGGCTCAGGTTACACGTGCAGCCCCCAGGCTGCCTCTGGAGAGGGTGTCAGCCAGCAGGAAAGCCCTCGGAGCCTGCCATTCACAGCCCCTGCCCAGGGCTCTCAGTGCCCAGGCTGTGGGACGCCCCGGCCAGTGCAGTCCCTGCGCTACAAGACGTGAAGCAGGGCCAGTGAGCAGGAAGGGGTAGTTGTGGGTCACGTGGCCTGCTGGGAAACTGGAAGGTGCTCTGGGATCCTCATAGCCATCATCCTGGGGAGACAGGCCCCCGGTGGGCACAGGCCAGTCTCAGGTCACACAGTGAGTGGGTCCTGAGGGATGTGGGGAGGGGCCTGGGTGGACTGGACACCTGGGATCCCAGCCTTCCCCACCCTCAGGAGAAGATGAACAAGATGAAGGCCAACGAGGCGAAGCTGGAGAGCGACAAGCGGCGCCTGAAGGAGGTCCTGGACGCCTCTGAGAGCCGCACCATCAAGCTGGAGCTGCAGCGGCGCTCACTTGAGGGGGAACTGCAGCGCAGCCGCCTGGGCCTAAGTGACCGAGAGGCCCAGGCCCAGGCCCTGCAGGACCGGGTGGACTCCCTGCAGAGACAGGTGGGCCCCTTGCCCACTCGCACCCACAGCGTCCACATGCCCTAGCCCCAGCAGGCAAACTACAGGGACTGTGCAGTCCCTGCTGAAACCCTGTAGAGCTGCAGAGCAAGTATTATTGCTATCCCCCTGTCACGGATGGACAAGTGGAGGCTTAAGTGATGTCATTGGGCCCAGTCACATTGCTAATAAGAGGCAGAGCTAAAATTAGAATTCATGTTCATGTAGGACAAGTTAGATTTCACTCATTTCCTTTATTGCCTTTGCCCCTAGGAAACTCAGCTCTAAGCTCTAGCTTCTTTTCAGTAACTGCTAACAAAATTTCGGGATCATGGTGGTTGTTCTCTCTCTTCCATAGCAGGGGAATGAGACCACAGGGTCTGAGACAACCAGGCTGATGGTGCTCTGGGTGAGGGTGGATAACTGGTAGTGGATTGGACTGAGCTGCAGTCAACTAAGGCAGTGTGTGTGGGGGTGCATGGAACTGTGGCTGTCAGCAGTGGAATCCCAGAGAGGTGGGCAGGGCTTGGGCTGGGCTCACCTAGTGGAGGAGCAGGGCATAGAGGTCAGATGGGAACAGAGCCCCTTGACTGTCCTGTCTGTCCCCCTGCCAGGTGGCCGATAGTGAGGTGAAGGCGGGCACCTTGCAGCTGACTGTGGATCGGCTGACCGGGGCCCTAGCTAAGGTGGAGGAGAGTGAGGGGGCCCTGCGGGATAAGGTGCAGAGCCTGACAGAGGCCCTGGCCCAGAGCAGTGCCAGCCTCACCAGCACCCAGGACAAGAATCTGCACCTGCAGAAGGCCCTGACTGCCTGTGAACATGACCGCCAAGTGCTCCAGGTATGGGGCTGCCAGGCTCTGACTGGGCAGGGCCCTGGGAGAGTCAGTAAGAACAGGCTTGCAGGGTGTCTGGCAGAGAGGCTGACTATGGGA